TCCCCCTCTCCTCCCCCCTCCGCAAACACCCCTCCGACCTCCCCATCCCAGGCCTCCACCTCACCCACCCAAACGGCTACCACACGGGCGGCCCGGGCCCCAGCCCCGCCACCATCCGCGACTTTGCCGAGCGCGTGATTCGCGAGCACGGCGTCGAGGACGCCGGGCAGCTGGAGCGCGTGGTCGAGCACGAGGTGCGTCGGCGGGTCGAGCTTGTGCGGGAGAGGATGGAGGCGCGGGCCGAGGCTGTGGAGCGGAATCGCGGGGTTGAGCGTGAATTGGGGGATTTGAGGTTGCAGCGGAGTGCCGAGTTGAGGGTTATGGAGAGGGTCAAGGGGGGGAGACGGTGAGGGGTTGGTGGGTTGGCTTGGCTTCGTCACCGATGTACCGTATCTTTGCCATTGCATTCTCGCCCTCGTGGTTTTGCTGGAGGCTGGCATGGCGTGACAAGGAGTCATTGCAGAATCCCCAGCAAGGCGGCCATACCCTCCAAACAGTCTCAACGCGCATGCTCCTTTTCGCCATGATAACAACAACAACACCACGACTAGACACAAGTCGAGCATACATTCTTGACTCACAATCACAACCACACCAAACATGGAAATCTCAGCTAAGCTCTACTCCATGTCCATCACCGTATATGGTATCGATGGGGCTGGTGATGGGGATGGCTGATTTCGCCATTGTGGTTGTACTACATCGGTCGTAGGTTGTAGATGGTTGACGGCCGCCATGGTGTGGGTTTTGCGTCTAGGGCTGATATCTGGGGTCTGAGACCTGGATTTGGGGTATAGAGTCTGGATGTGTGGAGATGTGGAGCTGTTTCGGTTAGGGTTCATGGTGAGGATTGGGATTGAGATTGGAATTGGGGCTGGGGCTGGTATTGTCTCATTGTGAAGACGATGGATGGGAGAGCAAGTGAAGGGATGAGATTGAGGGTAGTGCGAGTAAAACGAGACATGATAAGATCCAGTAGAGTATAGACTCGAAGAAATCCAACACACCAAGAAAGATGAAATGGGAAAAAAAAAGAAAGAAACAAGGAAAGAGGGTCAAGAGACCATGCATTATCCGTAGAGTCCAGAGTCAAAAGGACAATGAGAGAGTGGGCAAAGATCATTGTAGCCCATGCCATGCCATGCCATGCTATCCCTTCCATCCAAGCCATCCGTCCATGCACCATAATCTACCACCTCCCATCTCCATCTACATCTCCATCTAACCCTCAATCTCCCCCCTACACCACGGATGTTCCAATACGCCCCCAATCGTAATCCTCTTCTCCACATCACGATCCAACATCAAGCGAATCAAGTCGATGCTCTCCTCGCTCATCACCCACGGCACCCGCAAATCATGATCCATAATCTCGTCGATGCTGTAAAACGGGTTTTCCTTGTAGATGATGGTGTAGAGCAGGATGCCCAGGGCCCACACGTCTTGTTCTTTGCCACGGTAGGGGCGACCGGCTAGGACTTCGGGGGCTGCGTAATCTGTTTTGTTCTTGGTCAGACCTTGTTCTTCTTACTGGCTTCACAGGTCGTCTACAAAAGGAGAAAACAACATACCAATTGTACCCACAAAGACATCAAAAGGTCCACTCTTGATGTACGCCGCACTCCCAAAATCAATCAACTTGATATTCCCCTCGCCATCCAAGACTACATTCTCGTCTTTGATGTCGCGATGCACAACCTTGGCCTTGGTATGCAGGTGGTGAACTGCCTCGGCCACTTGCACGAATATCTTCCTGCACTCCTTTTCCTCCATATTCACCCGCAACTCAATGTAATCGAACAAGTCCATGCCCGGCATCCCGTGTGGAATCATCTCAATGTAGTAGTTTACATCGTCTTCGAAAAAATCGGCCATTTCGACAATGTTGGCATGCTTGAATCCGTCGCGCCGGAGGTAGTCTAGGACATGAATCTCCAGTGGCACCGTACCAAGACGGCGATCACGTGTCCATGTGTCGACGAGGATGCGCCGCTTGGTAACGTATTTGATGACGACCTTCTTGCTGCTGTTGCGTTTGTAGCGACAGAGCTTGACCTGGCCGTAGGCCCCTTGTCCCATTTCTTCAACAACCACAAAGTCATCAATCGTCTTTCTCCTAGCAGGCTCTTCAGGCACGGGAACAGGAGGTGGCGCCATGGACCGTGCTTGTGGTTCTCGCGGGCTATCTGGTCTCATGGCTTCTTGAAGCTGTTGCGTCAGCAAAGACGTGACCGGAGGACTACCACGGGATTGATGACTTTCGGGTTCCTGGGGCACGGAGAAGTTTGACTGTCCCGGTTCGGGTTGGCGTGGCGATGGCGGCCTAGAGATCAACGGTGTCACAGGACCAAGCCCATGGTTTGCAGCATGTAGATGCCTAGAGTACGTGACCCACAGAGCATACACCAGTTCGGGGCTCTTTGCCGGTCTGGACGGGGCATCCTCTTCTTCAATCACATTCTCATCGAACCGAGGTGCCTTTTCGCTCTTCACGACTCGCATCTGCACATCGACCATGATTTCAGCTCCATCACGATGCAAAGCGGGCAGACCGCTCGGCCTCAGGAAAATGGCTGCCGCATCCGCACTCCCCTCTCGCATGGCCAGGAGAGCACGGGCGCGCCGAAAGCTGTGTTCAGGAATTACTATGCCATCAACCAACTCAATCTTATCTTCATCCGTCATGACGTGGAGTATCTTGTCGAAACTGGGTATCAATTTGCTTATATGAATGCCCTCGGGATGCGGCTGCCCGAACAAAGCCGAGGAGAAGACCGAGTTCGAGCTTGTAATGGAGAGATCAGATGATGACAGGACAATGATGCCAGCAATATGAGGGAAGCTGGAGACGCGAAACGTGGGTTCATCGGCAACCGGCTCGACCGTGACTGGGATATTGATGCTATTCGATGTTCGAGCCGTGTAGCTACGAACCTGGTCAATTGTTTCATAGTCCAGCGCTCCCGTGTTGGTGCCTTTGAGTCGAGGAATTCCGGGTATCAAGCGCTTAATGTCCATGCCCCGTCGTAATCGATCGCTGCCAAATACCGCCTCTGTTGCGCCCCAGCCCTTGGAAACGCAACCGACTTCATCGACGTTGATGTACACTACATCTTCAGCAATCTCTTCCAGGACCCAGATGAGTCCCCCGCGCTTCTCCTTTACCCAAAGGCTGGCCGCGCCCGTGGTACCATTTCGCTTTTGAATGGGAATCACATCGCCGCATAGCAGAACCCCTCGTGATCCCCTTGCTTCGTGATTCAGCTTGCCCGTCTTCTTCGCGTTGTAGTATGACGAGCCACTCCCGTCGTCCGTCTTGGCCTTTCTAGCCGCTACCACGCGTGATGGCGCTTTACTCAGTAACCTCGCTGTGACGCCGCTGCCCACCTTGAGATTGTTTGTAGCAGGTGCTGGACCATTCTGGGCCTGTGATGCCTTTGAACCGACATTGGGATCTCTCAGCTTGTCCTCGAGCCACTTTCTACGGTCTTCACGGACGACTTCCAGAATGCCCAGTTTGCGGACCTCTGCTCTGGTCACACCAAAGACTAGGCAAGCCAAGTCGTTTGCTGATGTGATGGTCCATGGCGATGAACCTTCGGTTGTGAAGATGGCCTGAGCAGCGGGAGCATGTCGTATACCGTGGCCATGGGGAGCGGCCCCTGCAGAATGGGGCCCTGACGTACCGCTGAAATTGGGCGGTATAGTGGGCATCGAGTTTGGCGACACTAGCTGATTGGGATGGTTGTTGTCTCCGACGAGATAGGGCTTCGCCATGGCCTCGTTGAGCTGACTTTGGATCGTAAGCGGCACGACGTCTGTGAGTGTGCGCTTCAGGGCAGCACGCTGAGGCCGTTGAGGGCCAGGTGGCGGGGGAGCCGCTGGCGCTTGTATATCTGACGCCTCGGATTCTAGTGTCGAGACTGGTGTGTTGATGGATCCCTGGCTGTCGCTTGCACGACTCATCTCTGCGTACTCGGTCGAAGTGACCCTGTGCACTGGTGGTCTAGCCGACTCGAGCATGCTCTCTGGGCTGGCAGACCGTTCCGCCGTGAAGCCCTTTTCAAACGGATTCTCGCCCGACATGTCGGCTGGACCGGTGACTGGACCCAATGCACCGAAGCCATGCGCTCCTGTACCATCCTGGCCGATGAGATTTGCCCTAGTCAGCAGCTCCATCATGCTCTGCACTTCCTGGTCGCCACTGAGTTTTGCCTGGGCGTTGGCAATGCCTGGATTTGTCGCTGCCCAGCCTAGGCGATCGCGCATGAAGTCTATTGACCGCTTCAGCACATTTTGGCGGTTGTGAATGAATTCTTCTGATTGCGTCGCAAACGAGAAGGAATGTAGTGACTCGGACGGGAACCGGGTTAGGTCTTCGCCCAAGGCAAACGTCGGAGACGCTGGGGCCGAGGGCGCAGAACTAGAGGGATGTCTCGAGACCGGTGGGGTAGCCATGTTCAGCGAGGCGGCTCGTTGGCCTGTCGATATCGGGGGCAGTCGCGGGCCTGGCTGCTGGCGGATACGACGCAGGCCCGAAGCGCCCATGCCATGCTCATGCTCGGCCACTATGGGCGAACGTGTCATGCGGTCCAACTGTCCCGCATCCACGCTCAGCCGCTTCGCCGTGTCGATGGGCGACGGACCGCCCGTGCGGTAAGCCAGCAGGCTCGAGGCGCTCTTGACCTTGACCAGCGCATAGTCGGGGACGGACGCATGGTGGGCTTGAATGTGGGCGGGGGCGTTGCCATGGGAGTCTGCGTTGGCATTGGCATTGGCCTTTAGTGAGGCATCGTCGAGGTGGGGTTCTTCTGGTAGAGAGCCTGGCGGGGTGAGCGTGTTAGCGGTGGGGCTCATGTAGCGTGCTTGCGGGTGATGTTGCGTGTGCGTATGGATGTGCTGGTGGTGGATGAGACGACGGAGAGTAGCAGCTGGACGTCGCATGAGCTGCAGAGGCAAATCGCACACAGGGAAGAGGGCGCTGCGAGACTTTGTTGGGCGGCAGTACCGGTAGCCCAGGGCTTGGGGGTCTAGAGCGGGTGAGGCCAACGTGGACATGTGCTGTCTATCTCGCTCTCTGGCTTGCGCGGCCCGTCTCTCTATCCTCATGCTTGCTTTTCTTGCCATGGGACCGCTGGCATGTGTGTGGTTGGATACATGTACATGATGTAGACATGTATGTTGTGTATGTGCAAGCAGCGGGTGGTGGCCATGGCCATACTACTTGTAGAGCATGGTGACGACGGGGGCGGCCGTGGACAAGACAGATTGAAAAGGAGGGGGGATTCATGTTGACATACCATTATCGTGTGGCCTGCTCATTCCCTGAGGCGTGCGGGCGCCCGGTCCCCTGGCCTTGGACGCTGTGTCTCGGCTCGGAGGGCGACTGCGCGGGCGAATTGGGGTGGCGGTGCGCGAGGGCGAAAGGGTACAAGTTGATGGATGGGCAAGAAGACACAGGGAGAGAAGAGAAGGCGGGGTAAGAGTGTACACTGCACACTGCTTGTCGGTGTCGTGTCCTGGCTTGCCGTGGCCGGCGACTGGGGGTGCGCGCGATGGGGTGGTGCAGTGGGCGGTTTTGGTGGGGAGGGAGGAGGGGAGGGGGGGGAGGCGTCGACGGGGTACAGCTATACGCTGGCTGCTCTGCTTTTGTCCACCTGCAACACGGCAACAGGCGAGGACGGGCGAGGCGGGCAAAGACGGTGCGAGGGCCGTGGGGAGCTTGAGGGCTGCAGCTACCTGCCAGTCCAGTGGGGTTGGTTGTTGTTTTGCTTGGGCTGCAATAGCGATGCAATTATTAGTGATGGAGAGCGAGAAAGACGGAGATGAGAGTGAGAGGATGAAGTTGAGTGGCAAAGCAGCCGTCGTCCATGGAGACTGGAGACGGACGAGAAATGGCACAGAGATGGCGTAGACAAGTTTTAGAGTCGAGGGCGAGAGAGAAAGAAGAGAGAAAAGAGAGGAGAGAAAGAGAATGGCAGTTGGTGAGTGGTGGACTAGGAAGACTTGCTGCCCCCCAGTCCAGTGAGCGCAGAGAGTGCCCACGCTGTTCCTGCCCCGCACAGACTTGATCCACTCGACTTTCCCACACAGCCCCTCTTCTTGTAATCGTCACTCACTGTAGAATGGCTACTAGGACGAGGTGGTGGTGGTGGTGGTGGTGGTGGTGGTGTGGTGGATAGAACTGTGCAAGCAGCAAAGGGGCACCAGTCCTCAGTCACTTCCGAGCCCTCTCTTCTTTCTTTCTCTCACACAAAGTGACTCGTGACACTACCGGTGCGGTACTCTCTCATTCGCAAAAACAAGGTCGCTCTCACACGCCGACAAGACTCCGCTTACCTACCTAGCATCCGTTCCAACCCTTGGTCCTAGGCCGCATTCACCCTCCGTCCACTCCCTCCCTCTCTCTCTCTCTCTCTCTCTCTCTCTCTGCCGTGCCCCGCCAATTCGACCGACCAGTTCCCTCCATCTACCCAGATTGGCCGACTGCCATGCAATCTTCAATCTCACACATAGGCACATGTCCATCTTGGCTAGTCATGCCCCTGTCCTGTGCCATCTCGTCTCCGCCTTCCCCGGACCCGACGATTGGCTACACATCCTTGCCCACTTCCCAGATCTCTCATCCACTCTACCCAGTACCGGTAGTACTCCATTCTCCCTCTTCTGCCCGACGACCATGCATGGATCCAATCGCCCTCGATCACCAGCCCGAACCTGGACCCGTTTCTCGGCCTACACCCATCCATGTCCACCTGCCACCTCTCAACGCTGTCTCAGCCGGTCTTTGTGCTCGTTCCAAAAGTTCCTGCAACCTAAGCCAATGTCAATGCCTGCCATTCTTCTCATCCTCCACCACCTAAACTCACCTCGATGCATGTTGACTTGATCAATCCACCATTCGCCAAAACTGTCATCTGTAGCCAAATCTGCTGCCGTCACCCTCTCTTCCCTCTTCAGACCACACAGCATACACGGTTGTCGCGCTGGAATCCCTCCTTCCCATTGCTTCAACGCCTTCACTGGCATGACTCCCTGAAGATCAGGAACTGAGCCGAGCGTGCCAGCCTTGATCTGGTTCGCGCCAGCCACAACATGACGGAGCCGCCCAACTTGCTCTTTCCACACTCGTACCACATCAGACACTTCCCTCTCTTCCTTCAAGTTCTCTCCTTTATCAATCCCACTCAGTTTCATGCCCGAGGTAGCTCGAGAGGAAGCTGGCCCAATCTTCATGCCCTGTGACAAATGCTGGTCTCGCTTCCATCGCAGCTTACGTCCGGCTATGATGTGTGCGGCAACATTCCCAAGTGCAAGATATCCTGCCAGGTAGGCAGTCGTCGCCGGTGCAGCCATGAGCTTATTCCTCATGGGTAGCGTTTGCGCAGCCATTGGCTTGAATAACTTCTCCTGGGCGTCATTGAACAAGGAGGGGAAAAGTGAGAGTAGAACGCCGGGAGGTGGTATATTGGTAGGTGGCAACTCGCCTGGTTGAGGATCATTGGCTGTTGGAGGTAAAATGGGTGTAGGTGTTGCAGCCTCTAATCCAATACGAGCCTTGCTCACAGCTTTCGATTTGCTTGACTCTCTCGTTGTCGCTGTGCCAGGAATAGACTGCTCCCAATCATCAAATGTATCCCAGCCCGCATCGTCTTCCTCTTTCTTTGAGGCAGCCACCACGGCAGGCTTCTGCTGTCTGATAGTCAAACCAGATATAGATGGAGAACTCTGCTTTGCTGTAAAGGAACCTCCCAACCGTTTCTGTGCATGGTTCTCCTGACTTGGGTCGGCGAGAGAGGTTGTAGGTTGTGATACACTCATGTCACCCAAGAGATCAATCAGCGCCGATGGCGCCGCTGTAGATGCAGATTTGTTATTCACAGTCTTCGTATCCTCTGTTCCCTCAAACTCTCCAAACTCGTCATCGTCAAAGCCGTCTTCCGCATCAAAGAGCACGCTCGGATCCGTAGACCTTTTCGCTTTCACAATCGGAGCTCTTTGCCTTGAAGATTGATCTGCTTGAAATCCTTGATCGAAACTGGGAACTACAGCCGTAACTGGTGCGGTTTTCCAAGAGCCTTGTGCAGTCGGTCCGGCTTGAGAGGTAACAGGTGCGAATGGATCTACTTGTACAGGAGCAGTACCGGTAGGCCCAGAAGATGAAACGCCTTCAAAATCGCCCCATTCATCGTTATCATCTTCAACTACCTTCGGCGGCGGTGACGGATCAAGATTCCAGGTGTTGGCCAAGGACGACGGTGATGGCTGTTGGGATGCGGGACCTGTGGCTCCTGTGGCGCTCCAGCCATCAAAGAAAGCGAAAGAGGATGCTTGTTGAATACCTGGTCTGCTCGCTGCTTGGACCGACTGTTGCGGTTGTTGATTCGAGTTGGATTCTGATCCAAATTCTGCAAACAGGTCTGCAGACATGTCTAGTCAAGAAGCCAACAAGTGAGGGTTGTAGAGAGACAGGCGCCGCTGCTTGGGAGAAGGTGCGCCGTGCGCTAAGCCCCCAAAAGCTGGAGATCCAGGCTCTCTGCCAGCCTCCAGCCCGTCACCTGCGCATCCCCCAACTCGCAAACAGCAAGCCAAGAAAATATCTATAAGCGGATTAGAGTGTGCATGAAAAGTAGTCATGTGCACCATAGCCTGTCCCTCCTCTGCCCTCACGTTGCGAGCGATGACCAGACACGCACGTACAAGTCAACGCAACAACATTATGAACTTCAGGATGCATGGAGGGAGAATGCGAGTGTGTCTGAGTTTGAGACTACAGCATCATCAACGGCACATCAAAAGCATAGGCCACGTCAAGTAGCGGGGAAAGATGGGATAATCATCAGGCAGAGGAATCATCACGAACACAAACACAAGAGGCAAAATTGGTTATTGTCCATCCATATCATTCATCCAGATCATTGTGAAATCTATGTAGGACGACGCCACTACACTCCAGACCGTTATGCATGACACGTTTCAAGAAGTCATCAAAGCTTTTCCTAAGCTACCACATCCCCAGAAGCAGGTATCTAGAGACGAAAGAAGAGAAACAAGCAGCCCTAGTAAGAGAGAACACTTATTTCTTGGAAGCCTTTTGGGCGGCCTTGGTGACCTTGCCAGCCTTGTCGGCCTTGACGACGGACTTGATGACACCGACAGCAACGGTTTGACGCATGTCACGGACAGCGAAACGACCGAGAGGAGGGTAGTCAGTGAAAGCCTCAACACACATTGGCTTGGAGGGAACCATCTTGACGATGGCAGCGTCACCAGACTTGATGAACTTGGGGGAGTTCTCAACAGACTTTCCGGTACGACGGTCAATCTTCTCGAGAAGCTCAGAGAACTTGCAAGCAATGTGGGCAGTGTGGCAGTCAAGAACTGGTGCGTAACCGGCACCGACCTGACCAGGGTGGTTGAGGACGATGACCTGGGCGTTGAAGGACTCAGCACCCTTGGGGGGGTCGTTCTTGGAGTCACCGGCAACGTTGCCACGACGGATCTCCTTGACCGAGACGTTCTTGACGTTGAAGCCAACGTTGTCACCGGGAACACCCTCAACAAGCTGCTCGTGGTGCATCTCGACGGACTTGACTTCAGTGGTAACACCAGCGGGGGCGAAGGTCACGACCATACCGGCCTTGATGATACCGGTCTCGACACGACCAACGGGAACCGTGCCAATACCGCCGATCTTGTACACGTCCTGGAGGGGAAGACGGAGGGGCTTGTCGGTGGGACGGGATGGAGGGTCAATGGCGTCAATGGCCTCGAGCAGGGTCTTACCAGTGACCTTGCTCTTGATCTCCTTCTCCCAACCCTTGTACCAGGGGCAGTTGGTGGAGACCTCAATCATGTTGTCACCGTTGAAACCGGAGATGGGCACGAAAGGAACGTGCTTGGGGTTGTATCCAACCTTCTTGATGAAGTTGGAGGTCTCTTTGATGATTTCCTGGTAACGGTCCTCGGACCACTTGGTGGTGTCCATCTTGTTGATGGCAACGATGAGCTGCTTGACACCAAGAGTGTAGGCAAGGAGAGCGTGCTCGCGGGTCTGGCCATCCTTGGAGATACCAGCCTCGAACTCACCAGTACCGGCGGCAATGATGAGGATAGCGCAATCGGCCTGGGAGGTACCAGTGATCATGTTCTTGATGAAATCACGGTGACCGGGGGCGTCTGAGCCATGGTCAGTGTCATGTATGAGATGGTGAGCAAGGCGAGAGAGACATACCAATGACGGTGACGTAGTACTTGGGGGTCTCGAACTTCCAGAGCGCAATGTCAATGGTGATACCACGTTCACGCTCGGCCTTCAATTTGTCGAGGACCCATGCGTACTTGAAGGAACCCTTGCCAAGTTCGGCGGCTTCCTGTATAGGGAGTTAGCATCTTGTCAAGAAGAAGTGTCCAAGGGTTCAAAGCGCTAAAGGCCGCAGACAAATTATCGTGTGCATGGTGGGTGTTGTTCGCGAGATCCGCGTTCAGACTAGCGCGCAAAATCGCACACCCCACCATGCACGCAGCAAATTGCCCCTCCCGACGAAACACGAAGCAGCCAGCAAAGTGGCTGCACGGCGCCACAACGACGGCACATGGCTGAAAATTGCCAGATGAAAGAAAAAGGCGTGCCTACCTTCTCGAACTTCTCGATGGTACGCTTGTCGATACCTCCGCACTTGTAGATCAAGTCTGCAACACAGGTTAATCTCGAGGTGCCCCGCAGTCGATCGAAGAGGAAGGCTTACGGCCGGTGGTGGTGGACTTTCCAGAATCGACGTGGCCGATGACGACCACGTTGATGTGCATCTTCTCTTTACTAGACTCGTGTCAGTCCATCGATGTCGTGATATCCTCCCGGCACTGAGACCATGGCGGGGCAGCGCGCAGTCGAGACTGGCGGGGCTGGCGGGGTCGAGCAGACTTACCCCATGTTGGCGGTGTTGTGATGGTTATTCCTGTAGAAGGAGAGGTAGTTTGTGAGGGTTGGAAGGGAGGTTTAATGCCCAGAGTGAACAGCAGCGTATTCTGGTATGGGTGGACAAAGAGGAGAAATGCAGTTCGGGAGGAAGGTGGGCTTATAACGGAGCGAGGGGCAGGCGCTAAAAAATTTCAAGTGTGCAGATGGCCCGTGCTCCCGCCCCGCGCTTGTTGCCACAGCCTGTCTGGGCGGCCTCACGAATGAATGAATGAATGAATGAATGAATGAATGAATGCATGAATTTTTCGTCGTTATTTCGATAGCAATCTGAATTCTCGAATTGAGAAACGATGTTTTGCTTCTGTAGCTTGATGATGGCCTACGGTGAGGATGGTCGTGGTATCCTGTGCCCAGAAATGATGACCTCAAACAAAGTACATGCAAGTATAGCCTGTCTTTGGGCTCGTTGGGCTGCGTGCAACTATAAACCTTACCCTGCCTACCTAAGTACTAGATAATTGTATTGTTGTACACACCTGTTGAGATCCCGATCCTTAGCTTTTGCTCCATATTTATGCAATGGTCTGACGCTGCTGCTTCTCCTCCCCCTCCATCTTGATAACACGAGACAAAATGAGTCACAGCCACACATCCATACCATGTATTCTACTCCTACACCGACATGCAAAACTGATGATTAAAGGCATTCTGCATGTCTCTAATTGGCAGTAGGAATGGTAACCTAGTAGAGTATGGTATCCGTTGCGAGCACTAGGCACCCTTCGTGTAGATTACGCATAAACCTGTCGTCGTCACAGTACCCCACCAGCCCTGGTCGTCCTCCAAAGACAGCACCTTAACCCCTCCCCTCTATCCAAGCAACATCTCTTGAAGTCGTACAAAGAGTACCTAGTCAAACGTCGCGCCAGTACAGGAATCGAACGTCGACTTCGATTTGCGCAAACCCTGATCTTGGTCGCGATTCTGGCACCATTGATGAACAGAACTTCTGCTCATACTCCTTACGAGTGCCTCATAAAGATGCTATGGTTTGTTCCATTGCTATATTTTTTGTATGACGTCAAGGTCAAGGACTTCAAGCAACTCGAGCATTTGCTGGTGTAAAGTATATTGGATACATCACAATCGCCACAGAGGCAGACGATAATGAACCCAGTGCATCGCCCTTTAGAGAGTACTTCTGCATCTCCTCACGAGGAATACAGTTACCATATCGCCATCATCATCAACCTACTCTAAACCTCATGCTCAATATCCTTGACCCTAGGCACCTTATGCAAACTCACACTACAAAACTGTGCCACGAGCTCAATCTGTGTAATCATCAGTCCCATTGCACACCCTCTAGGAAGGAATAGTCACAACGTACACACTGCTGTATCGTCTCCACATCCTCACTACTCACTCCGATCCGCCGTGTCCCACGCAAGTGCCATGATGTTTCCCGCGGCAGGTTTTGCATCATGATACCGGTTAGCACTGTGATTTCTGTTTCGACGTCGGTGAGGATGGAGTGGTCGGAGAGGTAGAGGCCATAGGTTATATGTTTGCTTGTCCAGGCTTTTGCAGTGTTAGTGACGTGATGGCTTGGGGTGAAGACGAGTCAAGAGAAAAGGAGGTATACCAAAATCTCGTTGCGAGGCCAATGCCTTATTAATACCACCCATGTTATGCGAGTACAATCTGTTCAACCACTGCTCTCCGCGTTGTGCGTTTGATTCGTCGCATTGCCAGTTTTCTCTGCGTATTGTTAGCATGTTGTGTATAAGATCACGCTTTCATGAAACTCCACCAAACATATTGAGCAACATACCTTGAGAATGAGTAATCACGATCCTCCTCCCGTGTCACAGCCTCAATCTCAAACACCGCATCCAGCGGCTTACAGACACCTACAATGATGATGAGTTTGAATAAAACTTCGCGGAGCCGTCTCATGAGTGCTTGTCGCTGATCTGGGGTTTGGAACTCTGGTCGCGTGAGGAGGTAGGAGTATAGAGTTGGGGCATGAGAGGCTTGGGAACCGCCGACTAGAGCGGCAAGCTGGATGGTGATGCGTTAGCTGAGGATAGTACATGCAGGCCAAGTGACTATTGTTCTCGATAGATCAGGATCTGAGTGTGAATTTAAAGCAAATGATTTGAATAATACATCGCGGAAAAGTAAGAGCTTCTTTTTAAAACGCTTGGGAGCAAATTCAGTAAATGGGATGGCGCTACAAATAATTGAAGAACAGATTTGAAGAATACGTGGAAGATACAAGGAGAGTGTATTTTAGAGGGAATTTCCATACCGTAAGAATGTACCATTTGCCGTCTCCGAGTGTACTCGATGGAAATTTCTCTTCAACCTCATTGAAGAGCGCATGGGCTTCTTCTTTGGTGGGGTCGCGGGGTATGGGGATCTGCTTATTCGTTGCCATATCTATGGTCTTCCCCGATCGGAAGATACAGTTCTCAAAATCCTGCTTGAACTCTATTTACCGGTCCTTATTCTTCAAGTACCAGAGAGAAATCCTTGCGTAAGGGCGAATCATGACGCGTGTGTGGAAAGCATGTACACTAACTCAATGCGGGGTAAAACACCTCACCGCATGAGGATGGACCTTCTTCTCCATAAAACCGGAATAGCTATATTTAAAGCATTAATCAAGGACTTGGATTCATTCGTTTCAGTACCACAACTTAAAATTGAACCTGATTAGGAGTATGATTGGAGATTGTACCCCACACATTCACTCTTCCCAATGACAGGCTCAAGACCATAATTTTGGCTACAAGCCGTGGATGGGTTGATGATGAATAATCTGGATGTATCATTCCCAGAAACGCCATGACATCTGGGTACTCTAGAGAGCGAAAGAGGCGAGAAGTCTCAGCGGACATGTTCGAGGACGTATAATTGCAAGTGATTGATTGAACTATTGCTTGATGGAACCGGGATGAGTCGTTAGATTCTCGCAAAATTCGGCTTTGAATTACTCACACTTTTGCCATGGGTCAAACCAATAGATTCGATCGCTCTGACAGCACTACATAGGACTTTCTGGATCTAGACGGCACATGGCTGACCAACGTTTTCACTACCAACTGCTTCTAATGGAGTGAGGTTACCAGAAGGACCTCAAGCAGGGCAATGTGTACTACTGTATAGAATCTTGCTTTATGCCTAGCCCAGAGCTTGTATGAAGATTTCCAATAGGGTATTATGTACATCTTATCAATACAAAGTCACTGCTAAGCATATACATGCAGCGTTGATTTTATTAGCTAGAAATTACAGTAAATCAACTATGTCATTATGCAGACTAGGGTTGTGCCACAGCTTCTGTCTTTGGCGACCACTTTACTCGCTTCTCTGAGCGCACGTACAAATCGTTTGGCCTAATGAGCTGAAACATTGGATCATACTCCACTGACTCCGTCCCATCTTTGACGAATTTGTACCGCTAAAGAAGCTTTGACAAGAAGATGTTGATCTCCTGCAATGCAAAGTTGAAGCCAATACACATGCGCTGCCCAGACGCGAACGGAATGTATGATCCCTTGTGACGATTTCTGACTTGTGGAGTCTCCTATCTTTCTGGATTGAATATTGTTGGCGAATCCCAGAACGACGGATTGTTATGTATGTGATGAAGTGCTACGATCACGACTGAGCCTTTGGGCACTTTGTAGCCGCCGGGTAAGATGAGGTTGACTTTGGCGGTGCGACCTGGTTAGAAGGAAGGGTTGTGTCGGCGTTGAGTCTCTTTGATGAAGTGATCCAGGTAGACGAGGCGGTCTGTGAAGTCTGACGTAATTTCCATTTCATCACTGAAGCCATTGTCGACGAGTTCTTGCAAGAGCTTCTCTTGAACACACTACGGTAAAAAATTGTTTACTGTAGAATGGTACGCTAGGGGTTTACTATATAGGTGTAAACTAACCTCGTGTATACCCGTAAATAGGTTTAAAGTAGTGGTTTACTTTTTTATAGTATAAATATAGTGTGGTTTACTATAGACCTATTAGTAGAGTAAATAAAGTAGTTTATAATAGTCCTATTAGTAGAGTATATAAAGTAGTTTATAAAAGACAAAATATAAGTGTTAGGTATAGTAATAATAGTATTAGATTTTTTTTAGTATCCTTATATAAACTACTAGTATATTATTGCCTATCCTATCCCTAGGCCTAACCTACCTAATTAACAGCCTATACCTGCCTAATTAATAGGCCTAAAACCGCCTAATTATTAGCCTATACCTACGTAATAATTAGCCTATACCTGCGTAATTATAAGGCTGTCTACTACGTACCTTACTTATTTTTAGAAAACTGCAGTATAATATAAATTAAATAGGTATATAAGTAGTATAACTATATAGTAATTAGTGTAAGTTAGTATATCTAATAATAGTCTAGCGTAACACATAGATAATATACTTACCTAATAAATACTAGTATATTATATAGTAATAGTATTAGTATAAAGAGCCTAGTACTATAAAGCTAGATATAGACCTATTATCTTACTTAACTATAAGTAGTTAGTCTTAGACTATCTACATTTATTAATAATATATAGCTTATTACTAGGTTAAAGTTAAGTGCTATGTCTATAGTAAACTATAGCTACTCCTACAAGGTTAATAATTATTGTTGTTTAAATCTATTTAATGCTATTATTATCTTCTATTATTCTCTAAGGTTAGGCTAGTTAGCCTATAGTAGTAGCAGGTTATGTCTGTTACTATTAAAGTACTCCTACCTATTTAGAGTTATTAGCTAGATCTTAAAATAGGTATATTACTATCCTAAAGGAGAGCTAAATATAGTTATTATAATTATTTCTAGCAGCGTAATATATAATAAACGCAGTACTCTAGGGGTAGTTACTATCTTTGTAATTCCCTAAAACCCTAATAGTATACCTGTTTAGAAGTATATAATAGTTATATATAACTATATCCTAGGCGCGTGTCTATATAGCATATACTATAGTTGTAATTATAGTATAAGTATTATCTAGGATACGTCCCTAGTGCGTATCTATACTACTATAAGACTTAGATTTTAGATAGTACTCTTATAGCTAAGTTATAATTATATTTTTATTAATATTATACTTTATACTAAGCCTAAGCTATTACACGTGGATAATACGCTTATATGCTAGTATATTCTACTCTAAACTAATATACTTCTAGGAAGGAGAAGTTACTATCTTCTTAATATAACTAATAAGCCTCTTTAAAGACTATTAGGTATAGTATATAGGTAGTCTAAAATCCCTAGTATTAGATATAAGGTAGAGTAGGTAATAGATCTAAATAGAGCAAGATAGTAACTAGTCTACTTTACTATAGTAGTAGAGTAACTTATACTAGCAAATAAAATTCTCTACTAATAGTTCTAACTTGTTAATCTAGTTAATAGTAAACTCCCTCTAGCTTATACAGAAGAGTAGTTTATAGTAGCGTAGGAAGTTATTAGTATATTCCTTCTAAAGATAGACCTATATAGCTAGCGCTCTATAAGTAAGTATAAAAGTCTGCTATTTAAACAAAGTCTATATCTTGTATATTATAGTGCTTTATAGGGTAGTGCTAACTTAGGTTAGTACTAAGGAATAGGACTTATAAAGACCTTTATTAATTAAAGCCTAATTAGCGTTAGTAATAAGCTATAGTACAGTCTTATTATTAAATTTATCCCCTTTCTAGAGTTAGAATAAGGCTTTAGGTATATTATAGGATATTGCGTGCATAATATTAATAGGAAAGCTATAAGGAAAGTGTATAGTAAGGAGGTCTAATAGGATAGAGTAGTAGTTAATACTAGTATCTTAGCGTAAGGTAGTGTATCTAGAGGCTAGCATATTAGTCTATTATTTATATATATCTTTAATAGTAGTAGCTAAATTATTATATATAACTAGGCAAAGGGTATCTCTATTTAGGAAAGAGTATTTACTAGTTCTCCCCTTAGTTCCTTTATGCAGGCATAGGTAGTAACTCCTTTTTAATATACTAGGCTGTTTTATTCCTATAATCTCTGCTATAGCTAGCCTATCTCTAGTTATTAGTATAAGGTGGGTGTAAAGGATAAATACTTCCTAAGCGTCTACGTTGTATATATAAACTCTAACTATAAGTTAGCCTAATTCCTCTACTATTAGGTGTAGCTAAGTATTGTGCCGTGGTATGGGATGTATGGGAGAAAAACAAGGCTTAGCCTAAAAAGTTAGGCGAATTGAATGGTATAAAGGCATGAAGGATCAGAGGATAGGAGAGGCATAACTCCTGCGGACTTTACTTTAACTCTATAATATTATCTTTTTACTTATATTTCTACATTAAACCTATATCCTCTGCTATAGGATTAATACTATTAAACCTTGCCCCTGCTACTTCTCCTTGTTTAAATAGGTTACTCTCCCTAACAGTTTAAATAGCAAAGCCTAAGGGGAACTTATCTTATCTTAGTAAAGGGGAGGGCCTAGTAGCATGTAACTAAGAGGACGTTTCTCTAAGTATAAGGAGGGTAGAGAAAAATTAAAAAATAGGTAGTATTAATAATTAATATTATTAAGGCAAAAATAGTAGGCCTATATTAGGACGTGGCTAACGCGCGTTAGTAGAAATAGAGTAATAATACTAAGAGGCTAACTAGAAAACATTAGAAACACTAGAATAACTAGAACTAGAACTAGAACGACTAGAATAACTAGAACTAGAATAACTAGAATAACTAGAACTAGAAAAACTAGAACTAGAAAAACTAGAACTAGAACAACTAGAACTAGAATAACTAGAACTATTAGAATAATTAGAACTACAAGAAGTATTAGCAATACTAGAAGTGCTAGAACACCTAGAATATTGCTACTAATAGAAAAGCTACAGTAAAGGCTACAGGATAGTGTGCGCTATTAGTAGGAAAATAGGGCTAGGCTAAAGTTACTAATATAATAAGAATCTACTAAAAATAAAATATAGTCTATAAAAGTAAGGGATAGGAAAGGGGGGAAGTAATACAAGTAAGTAGATACTAACTTATCTAATAATTTTAATTAATATTACTAGTTTATACACCTCCTTTAACATTTATAGAAGCCTACTACCTTAACTAAGCCTATCCTTTTTACTAGGAATAATACCTAGAGAAAGTAATATTACCCTAGGGTTAACTAAAATAGAAACCTCTAGACCCCTAAGAAGAGTCCTTGTCCCTATAAGGCCTAGGAAAACTAACTTTTAGTTCTAGGGAAGGGAGGTTATAGAGTTCCTAGATAACTATAACTACTAGGCAGAAAATAGGGGGCTAGATAAAGTAGATTAGCTAAAAATTCTACTAGATTTCTATAATACTATATACAGAACTTTTATAAAGAAGCTTAGACCCTACTAGAAGCAAGACTAGGAGGAGCTGCAGGAAGCTATAAAGGAGCACTAGAGGGACTAGGATATAGCCTAAAGGATAGGTACCTAAACCTTCCTAGATGCGTATATATAAGAAGCCTCTAGAAACTTCTTAGGACTCTTAGACTACTATACTAATTTTATAGTGTATAGTAATGCCTACCTAGTATCTAAATAGCTATATAAAAGCAAAGTTAGATTTTTCTTCTTTAGAAGGTTACCCTAGGTAGATAAAGAGCTAGTCTTGCTTAGTATACTAGAAGGGCCTAATAGTAATAAGGTAGTAAGCTATAAGCTAGAGAAGATCTATACCTATATTAAAAGAATCTATTAGCAAAGAAAAGGAATAAAATATATATTAGCTAGCTAAATAGAGGAAGATACTTAGTAGGTATATTAGATATTAGAATTAGCAAAAGCTACGCTTATAAAGGAGGAAATTATAGAGGTAGCAAAAGGTGTTAGAAAGGAGCAAGCTACTACCTAACTACTACTAAACGTTAACCTAGAAATAGACTAGTTAATTAGGGTACTAGGAAAAATAAAGATAAGTTTAGCTAAGGCTAATAGGCTATAGGAACACTACGTAATAGGCCTACTACTAAAAAGCCTAGTAAACTAGCTCTACTTTATTTTATATATAACTAACGCTAGGATAGAGTAAGGAATATATTAGAAATACTATAGTAATTAGAGGGTTACTAATAAACTAGCTAAGAACCTAGGGCCCTACGCAAACGTTAACTACTTAGCTAGGGCTATAGAGTTATAGGGGGTATAACAAGAAACTACCTACCTATAACATATATAGATTAGAAACCTACCTAGTAAGAGACTACCCCCCCTAGCTAGAACTTATAGCGCTAGGGTAGGTAAGTACTTCCTAGAATCTAGAAATAAGGACTAGGATATTTTACTATAGACTATTATATAAAAGACTAGGGCAGGTTACTAAGCTAGCACTATAGAACTATACTCTTTACTAGATAAAGAAAAAGTTACGTAAATACTATAAAGTTACTAAGGATATCCTTAGCTAGCTAGTGTTATAGGTTAAGCTAGAACTATTTAACAGAATAGATTTAAAAGGCTAGTAGTAGAGGTAGACTTAAGGACTAGACTACCTAGTAGTAAAAAGAGTAGGAGCTAACGCAATATCTTCCTAGAATTAAGGATTAGAACTAGCAGATACTTAAAAAGAATATAAGTAGTTCTTAAACTATTAAATACTATAAACTAATAAGGAAGACCTAGTAGTAATAACGCTAGATTATGTAGACTTAAGATATATTATCCTAGGATTAGCAGATAAGAATACACCTAGGATCTACGCCTCTATAAGGGAGAAAGAAAAGCAAAGGGACTAAGTCTTAGAAGAAGTAAGGACAGGATTAATCTAGAAGCGCAGGCAAGGAAGACT